GTCTCATGAATATACCTGAATCCAATACATCACAGACTGTTGTGATGTTTTTGACAACGATGGACTGCCATCGATGTCTCTTAAATATACTTGATCGATATAAAATTATTGGTTTCACTTGTATTGTACGTCTTTGGCAGGAATATCAATAGGTTTCATGGTTGTGCTGAAAAATTACAAAAATGATTATATTGATAGAGATGATAGTACGAAAAACAAACGGTAAAAGAATGGTAAGTTTACTACAGAATTTCGAGCGCGACATGATAGCTTGATAACTTTATTTGTTGGTTGTATTTTAGATTTTTCTATGTTTACTATCGAAAGCGTTTCTTCACGTCAACGTTTCTATTTAAGATACGTATCCTGAGGAGTTTTAATCCCCTTCTGTTTCTGTTCTCATAGACAGTCTATTACTCAAGCGTTCTTCTTGGGCGTGAGTGTGCGTTTCTATGAGGTTTCCTCAGTTTCTATCGTTATATAAATAAATGTATTCTCAAAGACTCGTGAGATCTGCACTCCTGAAAAAGACAATGGGGCACACACTATATATAATGATATGAATAGCAGTAATGTTACAGACCCGCTGTATCCGTGTTTCAGTTTAAAGTTGAATGCTTTTTGTTTTCGAAACTCAAATTGAAATTAAACTGACCCTTTATATACTATTCCTGTAGTGATAAATGTATGAGGGCCCAAGTCACTTACTAAGGGCTGGCATGTGATGATTGAAGTGTTTTATACGAATAAACATTTAGCGATTTAAACCGAGTCAAGCTAGTTTCTGATGGAACAATCATCGCTTAGTGTAATGATAAATGACGACTGTTACATCTCTATTCGACTTAGTATGAAGTGCGTTTTGTAAAATCTAAATTGTATTCGTCCCTTCATTCCAACTTAATAGAAGCGTACGTCACACGGTATTTTGTTGCATAGGATACTCATGGAGTTTTATTTTAGTACTTAAAATTAAGTTTAGTTGGTTAGAAAAATGACGAATCATATACGATTTTTTTATTTAAACTCAGATAAATTCAATCACTACTGAAGGCACAGCTTATAGGATATCTTTTTTCTATTTTTCATGAAAATATTTTGCAAAAATACCCACCATATCTTATTTGTGCTTTTTTCTCATATTCATATCATTAATAATAAAGGAAGATTGAGAATCAATCATGGATACCATACAAGCAAATAAACGAAATAACTAATACTAATACTTGAGCTGAATAACAATAAATTCCCACTCAACTCTGTATATTTTCAGAAAAAAATCATACGATGATGTTACGACTGAAATCATCTTGAATAAAAAAATGTTTATAGATAGTATAGAATCATTTAACTTTTTCGGTATCTTACCAGTGTAGAAATGGACGTTTTCGTTATTTAACTTACACATGAATAGATATATTTCACATTATGTGATGTATTTACCTTTGTAAAACCATGTGCATTATTGGTGTAATATAATTGCAATGCGCAAACTGTGATAAAAATGATACGAAAAAGAATATAAAACTAATGAAGCGTAAATGAAAGCGAATAGAATAGAACAGAATAGAATAGAAGAGAACGAAAAAAAATATAAAAAAATACTTTTAATCGCCGTCTGCGCTGCACATTCTACTATCCATTTAAAATAGAAAGAATGCAAGTGATTGATTATTTTAGAATTTTTCAATAAGATATTTTCTTAAACATCAACTATAATTCATATATGTTTCAATTTATATTAGTTAATGTTTTTTATATAAAGGTAAATTCTTATAAAACTATCTTAAATATATATATTATTTTACGACAAATTTATGTTCAGATACTTATTCAAATGAAATTAAAATCTATTCTAATAATTCAAAGGTCTAAAAATAATTGTACAATTATGTTTATTTATCATTATCATATCTATTCTTATTAGTAAAATATATTGTATATTCAAAAGAAAAAAGAATCTTATAAATTGAAATTATTCGAACATTCAATACTAAAATAAATAGCAACTAATTCTCTTTCAAACTGAAATTACTAGCAAAGGTGTGTGTGTGGGTGTGAATGAAGAAACCACCAATGCCCAACCCACACCCACAAGATTTCTGTATAATATTACATAGAGAAATTTATCAGCAGGTTTACGACTTATGATCCGTCTAAAACTAGCTTTGATAGATATAGAATAAATTCTGCATCAGATCAAGCAATTTTCGAGCAGAATCGCCAATCGAAAAGGCGAGCGGGGTTCAGTGTTTTTATGGATGCAAATGAATATGAGTGTGGCTGTAAACCTTCTTCAAGCTCTATACCCACACCTTCATTAAAAAATATCAAATCTTTTGGTGAGTTTACATAGTTTATCATAATTAAATAATTTATATAGTATTGTAGTATAATCTTTTTCATTCAAAAAAACATTTTTTTAAATTCAAACTTTCGATAAATTATTTGATTAAAAATAAAAAAAGTGTAAGTTTAGTAGTACGTGAATAACACAAGTATACGAACGTTCTTCTCAGAGATCAAGTTCATTTCCATTTATTTTTATTACTCATAGAAAAAATTCGACATGCAAATAGAATGTCCATAAGTATGAAATTCGAAATATGTTTGAAAAAAAAATAAAAAGTAGGATAAAAACCAATTTCATTAAAATAATAATTCAAATATTTACATATCATCTCTAATCTATTACAAAGATGAATAATTAAAAAACATACGCAATACATTAAAGTAATATAAAAGATTTTTTTTCTTCATATTAATTTTTCACACATTTTACAAAATGAAAAACAAAACTGAAGTTTTTGTCAAAAAAAATTTAAAGATCTCTCGAAATGTTAATTTATTTTTTGACTAAAAACAGGAGATAAAATAATTAATATCATTTCCATTCGAAACTGTTGTGATATTAAACAATACATAACAAATGTTATAAATAATGAAAAGAATTATGATAAATCTCAGAAGTTTTCTAATTTCGAATATGAAATTAAAATTTTTTTATCAATACCATTTGTAACTAACAAAAACATCTTGAAGAAGCTCAATAAATACAGTACATAATTTTATTAAAACAAGCATTGTTATTGTTTTACATTTCGTCTTTACAATTTGATGATGAATTTATTGATAAATAATGATAACGAATACTTAATATTAATAATTTACTAAATATTACTAGAATAATAAGAGGAGAGATGTTTAAAAATAATATTGCCATTATTTCAAATGACATCTTTTCTAAAAGGAATTCCCATTACTGAACTTATCTAATAAATTGTTTTACTAGAATTTATTCGATATAAATTCGGTAGAACTAATAGTACATGTGATAATACTAATATAATACATCATATTAAATAATTTGGTGTAATCAATAAACATACTAATATTATTGTATAAGAATATTTAACAACTATTTCTTTAGGTTTCGATGTTATTGTATAACAAATCTAAAAGAATATTGTTTTTAATTTATTTTTTATTTTTAAATAAATCAAAACTTACAATAGGAAGAAGACAGGTTAACTATATTGCAATTAAAATAATATTTCAATGAACTATTTCAAAATCTATTTAAATTTGTCACGGATCAACAAATGAATTTGGATCATGAATTATGTAAAAAATATAATGAAATTGTTCTATCAAAAAAATGCAACATTTGGGTGTGGGTTTCCATTGTTCATTTGTATCCACACCTTGATTCATCCCACAACCACCCTCAAACTTTATTAAAAAATATTTTTTACTCTCTCCAAGAATAATGTTATTCAAAAATTATCAAAAAAAAATGTGTGTAATGAATGAATTCTTACAAAAAAGAATGATTAAGTATACATGAATCTGTTCACGTGATGTTTTCTTTTAATTTCATTAATAAAACAAGATCACATAACTGATAAGATTTTCAACTTCGATTGAAGAAATATTGCAATTTTAGATGTGATGAAAGAAGAAAAGAACAGAATATTTGATGAGAATAAAAATCATAGACATATCAGAATTTTTTTCTATAACAAATGTATATAAAATAACCATTTCAATACACTTAAATGAATAAGTCAATTAAATAAAAAGAATATATTTTTGACTTCAGGCACCCAGACATGTGTTAAGAGAAACAGTTTTATGCTCTTTCAGCTAAAAGAGAAATGTAAGAAGTAATGGAGAAAAAACAGTAAAGAAAAATTATTCTTTATTGTGCACACTTTATTTTTTCATTCATCACACAAAACATAATGCGATCAATCATTGTCTTGTTTTGCATTATATCTCTTTCATCTGTAAAGGGTTTGTTACATTATCTATTTTCACTTGACTCTATCATAATATAAATGAACTGTATAGGACAGACTACACAACTACCTAATTATTCTTGTACTGAAAATAATGCCTCTATTCAGTTCACATTATCTTCATCAGCTCATTCAGCATGGAATCCAACATCAAGTTGCTCTTTACAACAATGTAATACAAGCTTGAATGGTAACAATAATTGTCTTTCATCATCAACACCTTGTTTTGATTATCGAACAATAAATAATATTAGTTATTGTGCACCTGGTATTTTATGTTCAATATTAGAAAGATGTAATAATATTACACAAACATGCTCATCAAATAATTCAGTATGCGTTGTTAATTCATGTTGTTCACCGCAAGCAGTATGTTTACCATTCTTAGCAACATACATGTGTAAAACAGGTATTAATATATATTATTTACATTTGAGACTTCATCATACTCAACTAGAACAATTCATTTTATTCATAGTTGTGGATAAAGTATCATTCATTTGCATAATATCTCTGTCGAATGATACTTTTCTTGTTGTAAAGAGTAATGTAATAGATAAACTAAGATAGATGTGTGATATCCATTGTTAATTAACAAGAGAAACGAAAGAGTGATGAAGAACTGAAGTATGTTAAAGTGTTGAGTTTAATTATTAAATGAGACATTAATACAATTTCATATATATTTTAGTTCGTAGAATACAAGATTATAGGTTTAAAATAATTTAATACGTCCTTTTGTGTTTGAGCTGACATATTTTCTATATAGAACAAATTTTTGTGTTTACATCCATTGCATTAGATAGCAAAATATTATATATGAATAGATTAAAGTATACAAATCGTTATGATAGATTATCTCAAGTAAAATTTGTATTTTATTTGATTTCATATTCGTATTTATTCCTACTTTTTCTGTTAATATTGTAGTTGTTCTATTAATATAAATTTATAGTTATGTTAGGTGTAGTTCAAGAGACTTTGTTGCTCATCAATATTAAACTTGTTGTAAAATAAATGAGTCATCTGAGATGCAATCTAGGAGCAAATTATATGTGAAGGTGAATCAGTTCTAATAGAGAACCTACGATTAATGTTCTGTGATTAGCAGTCATCTCATTTATGCTGTCTGGACTGATGAGATGATCTAGTGAACTATACAATTAGACATTAGATACTATCTTTATCTTCAGATTAGTCTTTTATATCATATCTGAAACATTTGTAAAAAAATTTTTCTATAATAGTTTTCATTACATAAGGTATGTGAATAGAGAACTGCCGAAAAGTTATTTTTGTGCTAATAAATTTAAGTAAAACATTTGATTAGATATGAAACATTACTCAGAATAGAGTCGAAAAAAACTAAATAGGTGAATTTATGTAAATTAATGGAGAACTAATAACGAGTTGATAGTGAATTATGAGAGACTCCAGAATTAATCACTCAATTTCTCATTAGTTTATGTTGTATATCAGTTTCAATGATGAATGCTATATCAATCTTTTCATACCTATATATTGATCATAGTAAAAACAAATGTTATTAAAAATTCATTATTTTGATTATGATGTCCAAAGAACTATGAAAAAGTTGATACAAAGTTTATACTTTTCATTCTATTGAATATCTGTCAATCGTAGCTTGTAAAATTTGTAGAGAGACGAAAAACACCTCAGTCAGTGTAATTAGTACAGTGATTAATTCGAGACAGGCATCTTTTATAATATTGATTGAGATAACAGAGAGAATAGAAAACTGGAGATGTGATAATGATATGTGAAGAGATTTTTTGTAATACATTTTATTAATATTCTCTGTCTACATAAGTTTGAAATGACATAAAACAGACATCAGATGACTGCTGATTTTAGAATAAAGAAAAACATTGTACAAGAATAATGAATGTTGAGTGTTTAGTGATCTAATGTTGTGTTGTCTAAATATATAAAAATGTAACTTGTAGGATGGTTTTCTACTGGCAATATGACTAGTGGACGATATTGGCACACAGCATCTGTATTATCAAATGGAAAAGTATTAGTTACTGGCGGATACTATGGTAGCGCTTCAAATAGTGCTGAATTGTATGATCCATCAACAGGTATTTGGACAACTACTGGCAACATGATTATTACACGAAGTGGCCACACAGCATCTATATTATTAAATGGAAAAGTATTAGTTACTGGTGGATACAATGGTAGTAGTTATTTAAATAGTGCTGAATTGTATGATCCATCAACAAGTACTTGGACAACTACTGGTATCATGACTAATGCACGATGGTTTCACACAGCATCTGTGTTATCAAATAGAAAAGTATTAGTTACTGGTGGATATGGTAATTTAAATAGTGCTGAGCTGTATGATCCATCAACAGGTACTTGGACAGCTACTGGTAGCATGACTACTGCACGAGTTGATCACACAGCATCTGTATTATCAAATGGAAAAGTATTAGTTACTGGCGGATACTATGGTAGCGCTTCAAATAGTGCTGAATTGTATGATCCATCAACAGGTATTTGGACAACTACTGGCAACATGATTATTACACGAAGTGGCCACACAGCATCTATATTATTAAATGGAAAAGTATTAGTTACTGGTGGATACAATGGTAGTAGTTATTTAAATAGTGCTGAATTGTATGATCCATCAACAGGTATTTGGATAGCTACTGGTAGCATGATTAATGCACGAAGTGCCCACACAGCATCTGTATTATCAAATGGAAAAGTATTAGTTACTGATGGAGGCGTCAATGGTAGTATTGCTTTAAATAGTGCTGAGTTGTATGATCCATCAACAAGTACTTGGACAACTACTAGTAACTTGAATAATGCACGCTATGCTCACACAGCATCTGTGTTATCAAATGGCAAAGTATTAGTTACTGGTGGTACACCTAATGGGAATATTGCTTTGAATACTGCAGAATTATATTAATTATTTCAAACAAATTAACTTTTAGTCATTTTATTCTTTTTCTTACAAGTAGTTTAAATTCCAAACAATACTTTAGTTAGAAGAATTTTCATTTTAGAACGTCCGCGAATTATTTCCTTCCATATTTTTACTGAATTATCACATATTATAATAGTTGATCTCAAATAAAAATAAATACCGTTGTTTTTTTACTGTTGTAGATTAATTTCTTAGAATTAACAAAAGTTATTACTGATACTATAACTTTGATTATCCTTTCAAATGTTTTCTTAGTTTGACACGGTGCAGCTTATTATAAGATTTAACTGTTCTAATAGCATTCATCGGATTTAGAATGCATACGATCCTTGAAACATTTCACTTACCGAAAGGCTTCGAGGTAAATTCATAAATACGCCACAGATTAATATATCTGTAAATAACAACAACAGTAAATCTACAAATATATCAATGTACGGCATAATATGAATGTAGATGCGTGAAACAAAATACCGTTATTAAACTTATCTGTTTTTCGGTACAATTATGCATTTCAACGAGAGTGAACGGATCAATAGAGAAGATCTATCAGATACTTCTGTTGAATTTGTTAAAATTTGGCTTTAAGATCATATTGTGGATCTTTCATTTATAACATCTTACTTCAAAAGATGTTCTTCGTATTCTACTTTTTATGTTTAGTATAATAAAACTTTGTGAGTAGATTATCTGATTTCCTTATCAACGAATTAGATCGTAATATTTCGATAACGTTTCTCCTCATTGTTCATCCATTCTCATCTTATTTCGAATTCCAGTTAGAACATAATAATCTTCTTTTCACAATGGTAAATTTTGATAAACAGACTTTTAGCTTGTCATCTTTTTCTATTTTTGTAAAAGATTCTTTGTTTTTCCATACCTTCAAAAACTTTACTTATAGCTTAGTAATGAAGTTTGCAAAAGTTTTATTTTTTATATGAAAACATATTACAAATATAGGTTGGTAAAAGCAATAATCATTTCAATTAATTTGAAATGTTACTTTCAAATAATTGTAAATATTTTTGTCTAATACCATCATTCTTTTCCCATTCAAATTGAAATGTATCTTGTTTTGGTACACGATTTCTAACATAATCTGCTTTTTGACAATATTCTTTTAATTTATTTAATAACTGAGTTCGTGTTCGATATCGATGTTGTTCATTTGGATAAAGTTCTGTATAAGCTAATCGATCAGGTACAATAGGTATGCAACCAGCTCTACAAGCTTCTAACATTGCAACACCAAAGAATTCATGTTGAGCTGTTGATACAACAACATCTCCTTCAATTAATAATTGTTCATATTCAGATTTTGATTGTGCAAAACCCCAATGACGAATATAATTCGATGGTATTTTATTTAAAATTTCTGAAAATATTCCTGGACATTCACCATATGATTGACCAAGAATAATTAAAGAAAATGTTAATGAATATATTTCATATAGTTCAAGAATAACAGAAAAAAATGTTTCAGGATCTTTATCATGTTCCCAACGATGCGGCCAAACAATACATAATGGTCCTGTTTTATCAGTTTTAATCTTCAAAAGAAAAAAGATTATTTTTTATTTAGATCAAAGAAAATAATTTACTTCAATTGGTATTAATGATTTCTCTAATGGATAATATAAAACTTGTGATTTACTTTCGATTGTTTGTCGAATTTGTTGTATATTTGCTTTAGGTGATGGAATTCGATTAAGGAATGGTCCAAGTTTATCAAGAAATGTATTTAAATTATAAAATGAATTAAATAAACAAATATCAGTAACTAGAGCTGTTAAAATTTGATTATAACCATATTGAAAATCTCGTTGTTCTTGTTTTTCATTTTGTTTTGGATAAGCTAAATCATTTTCATGAAAATATATTATTTTCTTTAATGAACGAAGATCACTACGAAGCGATATCAATTCACTTAGATTAGTTATTGATGAACAAAATAAATATTTCAGTGAATTATTTTCATTTTTAGGTATTAAATCTGAAAGAATTAATGATGAACATCTTGCACGCCATGGCCATTTTGTACCTGGTAATGTTACTAAGATTGAACGAGGAGATAACGTACGATGAAGAAGATCTATTAATGAACGATGAGAACCATCATAGAATGCTTCGATTAATAGAATATCACACATCTAGAGAGAGAAAAAATGTATACATACATCTAATCATAATTGATAGTTAGTTGTTAAAGTAGAGATCTGCGGGACAGCTTCGAATCCCAAAATATCCCGTCCCGCGGGACATTCGGAATTGTTGTTGTAATTTTTTATTTATACAAAACAATGAGCATTATTCAGTATTATCTTCGAGAATTCTTCATAGCGAGATCTATTTTCGATTTTATCCAGTTGAAATCAATTTAAATTGGATGAATTTCAAAAGATATTCACGCTAAATAGGACAGGAATAGTGAGTACTTATAGACTGTAAGCCTTCTCAGAACTCTTTTCGAGTTCTAGTCCAACAGTTTAAAGTTGAAAAAGATACTAGAGCAGTTTAATCTGATATCTGAAAGCAACAAGATATATTCTTTTGGGAATAATGACTATAATTAATCGATTCTTTGACAATTGGCAAAATTTGGAAACCTCCACTTATCATCTATTTCTATCAACTCGCAGACATAACCAATCTATCTAAAATTCTTCTATTGATTTCTTAACAGATTATTCATATTTATTTTACAATCTGTTAATATCATTCAAAAATAAAATATTTATAGACTAGTATCAATTTTATTTTACTTAATTACAATTACTATACAAATAAAAGGTAAGAGAATATATTTCTATATAAAACCGTATATGTTATTCCATATTATTATTATCATCTTCGAAATTATTTGATGGTAATCTTGTTCGCTGAGCATATTCATTATTTTGATTAATGGTAAATGCTGGACTTGATGCTGTTCTTGACCGAGCTAAATTATGTAGAGATGACGATGATGATGAACTTGTTCGTGTTTGTTTATATTTTGAATTTGATTTCATTTTTTGATTTAAAGCTCGTTCTTCATCCATTTCAAGTGATGATTCACTTTCACTTAATTGTCTATAGAGTTGTTCTCGACGATCAACTTCAAGTTGTAATTTTCTTTGTAAACGTAAATTTTCATCTTTAGCATTTTGTTCTTCTAAAAGAATTTCTTGCATTTTTTTCTGATAATTTTCTTGTTGTACTGATAATTGTTGACGAAGTTCTTCAACTTCACGTTTTAATCGTTGAGCATAATCATTATTGGATGCAAAATGACGATTTGATGAATTTGTTTCAAATAATGAATTTGATCGAATATTCAATCGTTCATTTGTTGTTAAATTAGTTGAAGAAGTTGGATTACTACTCTAAAATACATTAAATTTTATTATATGTTATAGTGACATGATAGACAGACATTTTTGCACGTCGTACTTCTATTGAAATGCTACCATGGTATTTTTCATGGGTAAAAATTTCATCTCATCCTCTGGTACAGAACTTTATCTACATTCCTGCGATAATATAATGCCAGAGCCTTAGACTAAACCCTGACCGTATCATCTGATCATAGTAACCACTGAGTGCAAAACTGACAATACTAAATCATACTCCCAATCAAAGTTTTGTTGTATGATGACTAGAACCTCATACACACTCTTCGTTTATACATCAATTATCAAAATTAAATATAAATAAATATTTACTGTATTATATGGATGAGATTGTTGAATTTGTAAGTGAAGTAATTTTTTATCCGTTTCTAATTTTTCCATTCTTTTCCATAGACGATTCACTAAAGATTCTTGTTCTTTTTCTAATGTATTTTCTAATTCAATTTTTTCTCGTTTTAATTGTTCCTAAAAGAAGGAAAAAAAACAATTCTGATAATGAAAAAGTAAATAATATTTACTAAAGTATTTTGTTTATTAGTAGTTTCAGCTTCTAATCGATTAATTCTTTTCATTAATTGACTGATTTGTGAAGCTTGTTCTCGTTCCAATGATTGTTCTAATGACTGTTTTTCTTCACGAATTTGTTGTAACTTTTTTGATAAATCATTTGTTAAAAATTCTTCTTCACGTTCATAATTATTAGCTAAAGTTTCTTTTTCTTTTTTTAATTCTTGAATTTTTTTAAAAAGTGTATTCGAAATAAATTCTTCTTCTTGTTCAGTTTTAACTTGCATATTAACACTTGCACTTCAAAACAAAAAAAGATTATTTATATATAAAAATATTTTTTGTATCAACAAACTGTTTTAATTGTTTGATTTCTTGTTGTGAAGATTTTAAACGTAATTTAAATGTTTGAACTTCAATATTAAGAACACGATTTTCTTGTGTTAATGAATCAATACGTTTCATTAAATGTTCACAACTTAATTTTGATTCATTAGTATTTCTCGTTGAAGAATCAGCTACAGATGAAACATCTGATTCATATTCACTATCATTTATCATCGACTGAATAATACTAAATAAAAAATATAGATTAAATATTTTATTCAAAAAAAAACATTAATATATATTTACTTTTCATTGCTCATGATGAATTGACTAGAAATTTTATAGGAACATGAAGTTTTTGCTCAATAGAATGCATACGATACCGAATGGTTTATAATCCGACATTTATATCTACTTTCATGATTTGGCATATAATACATTAATGCACTTTGATAGAATTTACTAAAAATTTGCAAAAAAAGATTATTTAAATATAAAATATTGAAATATTTTAAAAAAATTAAAATATTTTTAAACGATATTAGCGACATGGTATTTATTGGATGATGGACACTGCCAGCGTTTTTGTTTTCCTTTGTATTATACGAAATAGAAAATGATTCGTTATAATTTTCAATAGATAATAATAATAATCATTACGATAAAAAAACTTACCTTGTTATTCTAGATCATAGCAATACTCTTTATTTATTCTCAATTTAAGCCGCTTTATCAATGTGGACTAATCAATTGAGATCAAGTCTTTTTTTAGTATGAAATTTTGTTTTTTTCTTATTTAAAAATTAAAAAAGATAATTATAGGTTTTCTTTTATTTGACTTACGTGAATGGTGGTGCTATTCAATTAACAAGTAGTAATATTGATTCTGTTCTTTGTAAGTTTAATAATATATATATAAAATATTTATTCAAAAATTTAATTTTGTATTTATTTAGCATCGCATGACGTAGTACTGGTTAATTTTTATGCAAATTGGTGTCGATTTAGTCAAATGCTTGATCCAATCTATAATGAATTAGCTGATAAAGTTGCGAAAGAATTTCCTGTATGAATATATTTTCTTTTCTTCTTTAAAATATAAAAATTCCCTTTTTTTTTTAGCAACATGGTTTAATTGCTATTGGAAAAGTTGATAGTGATGCTGACAATGCTATTGCTGCTAAATATCATGTTAATAAATATCCAACATTAAAATTAATTCGACATGGCCTTTTAACTAAACGAGAATATCGTGGTGCAAGGTTCGTAATTTTTTTTCCCAGAAAGAAATTTTTTTATTTTATTATTTCTAGACAAGTTGATGCATTTATGGATTTTATTCGTAAACAAATTGTAACAGAAATAACAAAATTATCAACACCAAGTGATTTATTTACATTAGATACGAAAAAACGTTATATTGTTGGACATTTTGATGATGAAAATTCGGATAATTATAAAATGTTTATGAAAATAGCTGGTCTTTTACGAGATGAATGTCATTTTGTTGCATCAGTTAATAAGTACGTTTCTTCTTTTTCTACAATGAATCATCTTTAAGACTAGTTATATTGTGCATTTAGGGATGATTTTAAAAATGAACGTCCATTAACAGATGTTATTTATTATCGTCCACCACAAGGATTAAATGAAAAAGATATGTATTATATGGGTGGAATAAATGAACAAGAAGCATTATTAACATGGTCACGTGAAAAATGTATTCCATTAGTTCGTGAAATAACATTTGCTAATGCGGAGGAATTAACTGATGAAGGTTTACCATTTCTTATTTTGTTTCATAAATCTGATGATCATGAATCAGTTGTTGCATTTGAACGTGAAGTTGCTAAACAACTTATGAATGAAAGAAGTAAAAAAGATGATTTCATTGATTTTATATCTTAAATTTATTTATTTATCTTTAGCAAATATTAATTGTTTACATGCGGATGGTGCACAATTTCTTCATCCACTTCAACATTTAGGAAAATCAATGAATGATTTACCTTTAATCGCAATTGATAGTTTTAAACATATGTTTCTTTTTCCTGATATCAATGAAATGTCGTAAGATTCGATTAAGAGACGAAAAAACAAATGAATTTATTGAACTTTTTTTTTGTTTATAGAAAAGATGGAAAATTATTACAATTTGTTAAAGATCTTCATTCAGAAAAACTTCATCGTGATTTTCATAATCCACCACCAGCAACTCAACCAACAACAACAACTACAGTATCACCAAATGCGGTAGGATGAGTTACATTTTTCTCTTATTATTCGTTTTTTCTTCTTCATGTATAAAAAGATATTCTAATCTATTGTTTTTCCTCATTTAGGATGGTAGTGAATCAAAAAGTAAACATATTCCAAAGACATCTTCAACCGCTAATGTTGATCAACCAGCAAATAATGCCAAACAATTTTTAAATCCTGGTTCTCATTCATCAGCACCACCTGAATCAGTTTTTATTCATTTATCACCAAATCGTCAACGTTATTCATTTCGTGATGAACTATAAAACAAACATTTTATTTGATTGAATCTCGATTTCCATTCTTTTTATCGGTTCTTTTCTGTTAAATTCGCTAATCAAAACAATGTTTCTTCTTTACTTTTTTTTTCTTTTTTTTTCTTTCTTCTTTTCATATCTATTTATTCGACATACTAAAAAACTAAATCAAGCGGAATAGACGAGAATTTCTGTGTGGTGTTTGAATCAATTTAAGTGATAATAGAATATTTTGTTATAGATATATATATAATGATGCGTCGACATCGTCAAATAGCTTTACTTGGATATCCCGGTGTTGGTAAATCATCCATTGCTCATCATTTTGTTTATCAAGAAATAAGTAATGAATATGATCCAAATATAAAAACAAGTAAAATAAAATTTCAAATTAATAGAAAAAGAAAAAGAAATTATCCTTTTAGAACTTTCACATCAATGTACAATTGGAGATGAACACTATGATTTATTGATTGTTGATAATGCTGGATTAGATCAATATACAATAAGTCATAGTGAATTTGATAATAGTGATGCTTATATTCTTGTCTATGCTATTGATGATCGACCGAGGTAAATTGATTGATTGATTTTTTTTTATTGAAAATTTTTATTTTGTTATATTTAGTTTTGAAATGGTATCGAAAATTAGAGATAAAATCATTTCAACGAGTGCTATCGTTCGGTAAGAAATATTTCAATAGAAAAATAAGTTTAACTTTATTTTTGTTCTTTATTAGAATACCAATGGTGCTTGTGGGAAATAAAATTGATCGAAAAGATGAACGGTATGAATTGAAATTTAAAGATAATCGATATAGATAAAAATCACACGAGTCATTGTATTTATTCTCTTTCTCGTAGAGAAGAGTCTAGTAAACATAAGTTGTCTGATTGCTTGATTGTGTGTCCGCAGGGTCAAAAAAACATCGAAGACCGGTTTTTTCACGGTTTTCAATTGTTTTTATAAATAACATATGCGAAGCCGACATTATCTAAAGCAAATATTTTCTGTTAATTCACTCGTCATAGAAGTAATGAAGAGCATTTGTTCAAAGCTATTTATCTAACACTCTAAAGAACTTTACCGATTAAGAATATTTTAATATTTAGACGTGTTTCAACGGAAGAAGGTCGATCATTAGCTCGTGCATGGAATGTTCATTTCATTGAAGCATCCGCTAAAGATTTCGAAGTAAAATTTGATTATCTTTTTGTTTTTCGTATAAATAAATTCTTTAATTTAATAGAGTGTAAGAAAAATGTTTGAAAAAAGTATTCAATCAATGAATAATATTGATCCAATAGACAATAATCAGGAAGAAAATTCAACAAAAACACATACAAATGAAGTAAATTCTTCAGCGTCACGGAATGGTTTCAATAGAAAATCAAATGGAAGTATACCATCGAAAGAACAATCAACAAATACAAAATGTACTCTTTCTTAAACTTTACCGTTTTTTTTTCTTCTTCTTCTTCTTTTTATGTAAATACATTCTTGTCTCTGTACATTGTTTTCTATATATTCACGAGAGTTTTTGTTTGTTACCTTATTGAAAATCATTTTTGCAAAGAAAGAAAAGTTTATAATATCAGCCTTTGGAATTCATTTAAATAGAAATGATAATTAAAGATTATTTGAGAAAACATTTTCAATAGAAATTGATTATTTAATATTTGGTTTTTACATGATCATTTATTTTAATAATGAATAAAATTTATTACTTGATTAAAAATATTTATATTAACAGACAGATCTGAACGATTCAATGCATTTCAACAAGCAGAGATTGATTCTGACTTGAACGAAAAGTTATTTGATAGTTTGATCAGGAACTTAACATTGATAATTCAACTTCGGAAAAACTTACTCAATTACATTTAGATTGCAGTTAAGATAAAATAAAAATAAATTACTTCTTAAACTAATTGAAGATCACGTAGATCTAAATAATGAGAAATTTTCTAATATTTACGATTCATATAATATATTTTACATAATTATAAAATAAACTGATGACAAATGAATATTCATCATTAGGAGATTATTTCTCGCTGTTTTTCTTATGAAATAAACTCTCATCTCACTAATTATAAATGAGCCTACTGAACTATTGTTTTCTTTAAGACAAATATTTTGCTGTTTCCTGAAAAAGCAAAAAATAGATTCCTTCTCTAGGAACTACTATTACTAATAGTAATTGAACTAATATCATATTTAATAATTTTATCTAAATTATTTTTTACTTTGTGTAAGAATAACGTTTTTCAAAAAATAACAGTCACATGAAAAATAAAGCCATAACGGTGTTGAAAAGAACATTTGAATAATAATTGAATCTTTTATTTACCTCCGAAGAGTTATTTATGATGAAAAGGTTTTTATAGAAAAATGATTAAGTAAACTAAAATCTGTTCAGATAATTTTTTCTTTTACCTTCGTCAATCAAACAACTTCATATAACTGATGATGTTTTAAATTTCGATTGAAGAAATGTTATGATTTTAGTTGTGATGAAATAACAAAAGAGAACGGTCGTTAATAAAAACAAAAATACATCATGAAATAAAATGTTGATGAAACGAAAATCATAGATATTGAAGAGTCTTTCTGCGGCAAACGCTTACAAAAAAAACATTTCAAGACATTTAAATGAACAAACAATTCAAAGTAAAAGAAATCTATTTCTAGTTATAAAAATACAAACAAGTGATGAGAGAAACAGTTTTAGGTTCTTTCAACTAAAAGAGAAATTTAGGAAGTGGTAGAAAAAAAGAATAAAGAAAAATCACCCATTGCCGTGCCATACTTTATTTTTTCATTCATCACACAAAAAAAACAATGCGATCAATCGTTGCCTTGTTTTTCATTATATCTCTTTCATCTATAAAAGGTTTGTTAGATTATCTTTTTTCATTTGACTCTATATCATAATATAAATAAATTCTATAGGACAAACTACACAACTACCGATTTATTATTGTAGTGAAAATAATGCTTCTATTCAGTTTACATTATCTTCATCATCTCATTCAGCTTGGAATCCAACATCAAGTTGTTCTTTACAGCAATGTGATACAAGCTTGAATAGTAATAATAGTTGTCGTTCATCATCAACACCTTGTTTTGATTATCGAACAATAAATAATATTAGTTATTGTGCACCTGGTATTTTATGTTCAATATTAGAAAGATGTAATAATACTACACAAACATGTTCATCGAATAGTTTAGTATGCGTTATTAATTCGTGTTGTTCACCACAACCAGTATGTTTACCATTCTTAGCAACCCAGATGTGTGAAAGAGGTACGAATACATAGTATTTAAGTTGGAGACTTCATCACATTCAACTAGAATAACTCATTTCAGTCATAGTTATACATAAAGTGTTATTCATTTGTATAAAAGTACTCTCGTATGATACTTTTCTTGCCGTAAAGAATAACATAATAGATAGAATAATATAGATGTGTGATATCCATTGTTAATTAACAAGAGAAACAAAAGAGAGATAAAGAACTGAAGTATGTTGACGTTTTTAGTTTAGTTATTAAATGATATATTAATACAGTTCCATATATCATTTAGTTGGCGCAATAAGGAATTATCGTCTTATGATAATTGAATGTTATTTATTTTTTGTGTTTGAGCTGAAATATTTTGTCTGTAGAATATACTTTTGTGTTTACATTTGTTGCATTAAATAACAAAATAATATGAATGAATAGATTGAAGAATACGAATCGTTATGGAGGATCATCTCAACCCAAATTTATATTTTGCTTGGCTTCTTATTTTTATTTATTCCTCTTTTTTCTGTTGCTGTTATTGTTCTAATAATATAATTTGTATAATTTTGTTAGATGTAGTGTAAGAGACGTTGTTGAGCATCATTACTAAAGCTTATTGTAAAATAGATGAATCATCTTAGATGAAATTTAGGAACAAATTATATGTAAAGATGAATCAGTACTGATAGAGAATCTAAGATTATCAGTCTGTGATCAATAATTATCTCATCTATCTTGTCCTGATTGATGAGAATGATCGAGTGAACTATACAATTAGACATTAAATACTATCTCTATCTTTAGATTAATCTTTCATATTATATCTGAATTATTTGTAAAGGTTTGTTTTTTCTATGCTAGTGTTCATTGCATAAAAAATGTGAATAGTGAATTGACGAAAAATTGTTATTATGGTAATAAATTTAAGCAGAACATTTGACAAAATATGAAATATCACTGAAAATAGAGTCGAAAGAAACTAACTAGGTAAATTTGTGTAAATCAATAGAAAACCATCAATGATTTGATAATGAATTATCAGAGACTTCGAGACTAATCACTCATTTTCTCATTAGTTCATGTTTTATATCAGTTCCAGCGATGAATGCTATATAGTTCTTTGCATACTTATGTATAGATCATAGTAAAAAAAAATGTTGTGAATAATTCATTATTTTGATTGTGACATCCAGAGAACTATGGTAGAGTTGCTGAGAAGTTCATACTTTTCATTCTATTGAATATCTCTCGAACATAGCTTGTAAAATTGGTAGGAAACCGAAAAACACATGAGTCAGTATTATTACCAGAGTGATCGATTTAAGACAAAACATGTTTTATATATTTGATTGAGATAACAGACGAAACAGAGAATATAGAAAAGTGAAGATGTGGTAATGATATGTAAAGAGATTTTGTGCAATACATTTGACTACAACCCATATAAAAAAAGTTGTGAAAATCGTGATTTTTATGAGAAATTCGATGAGAAATCGATTTAAATGGCACGCTTTTCATAGCTTGGTAATCGATTAAATTGAAAAAATTAATTAAAATCGATTACATTATTGTATAGAATGGATTAAAATCGATTAAGTTGTAAATAATCGATTAAAATCCAATGATATTTAATTTTTCGTAAAAAAATAATTGATTTCAATCGATTTTATACAACAATTTGATCGACTTTAACTGATTATTTGAACTTAATCGATTACCAAGCTATGAAAATCGTGCATTTAAATCGATTTTTCATCAGATTTCTCATAAAAATCATGATTTTCACAACTTTTTTTACATGGGTACTCTCAGTCTACTTAAGTTTGAAGTAATATGAAACAGACATATGAAAGACTGTCGTTTTTAGAATAATAAAAATACTGTGCAGAAGAATAATGAATATTGATTGTCTGATTATCTATAATGTTGTATAGTCTAAATATATAAAAATGTAACTTCTAGGATGGGTTTCTACTGGCAATATGACTAGTGCACGATATTGGCACACAGCATCATTATTATCAAATGGAAAAGTATTAGTTACTGGTGGAAGTGCTAATGGAATTTTTTTAAACAGTGCTGATCTATATGATTCATCAACAGGTACTTGGACACCTACGAGTAACATGACTGATGAGCGAATCTATCACACAGCATCTTTATTATCAAATGGAAAAGTATTAGTTACTGGTGGAATCGCTGCTACTAGTCCTTTAAATAGTCCTGAGCTGTATGATCCATCAACCGGTACTTGGACAACTACTGGTAACATGACTAATGCACGACGTTCTCACACAGCATCTTTATTATCAAATGGAAAAGTATTAGTTACTGGTGGAATTGATAATAATGCTAATGTTTTAAATAGTGCTGAATTGTATGATCCGTCAATAGGTATTTGGACAACTACTGGTAGCATGACTAATGCACGAGAGTATCACACAGCATCTGTATTATCAAATGGACTAGTCTTAGTTACTGGTGGATACAATGGTAATACTGGTATTTTAATCAGTGCAGAATTATATTAATAATTTCAAACAAATTAACTTTCACTTATCTTACTCTTTTTCTTGCAAGTAGTTCAAATTCCAAACAATACTTCAGTTAGAAGAATTCTTATTTTGTGACGTCCGCTAACTGTTTGCTTCCATATTTGTACTGAATTATCACATGCTTTAATGTTCGATCTCAAATAAATAAAATATCTTTGTTTTTTATTCTTCTAGATTAAATTATTAGGATTAACAAAAGTTACAACTGATGCGATAACTTTAATTATCCTTTCAGATGCTCTCTTCGTTTTGCAATATGATTACTCATAATATTTAACTAATTTGATAGAATTCATCGAATTTAGAATGTATGATCATTGGCACATTTCGCTTACAAAAAGCCTTCGAGGTAAGTTCATGAATCACATAGATGAATATATCTGTAAATAACAACAGCAGATAATCTCAAAGACAATCGATAATCATATTAGATGTACGAACTAATGAGAATGAGAATATGAATATTGATAAGTTAAACAAGATACAAGCATCTAACTTCCTTTATTTTATGATAGTATGTATTTTAACGAAAGAGAATAGACAATAATATGACATTTCTTCATTAATTTCTCTGTGATCAGTAGTTATTTTCTTGTAAATCCTAAATTAATTGATTCAAGCCACTCCAGAAAAATCAAATTGAATAATGTAGAACATCTATCGAGAAGTTTGCTTGAAATATCAAGACAAAACTATACACGGAGCTACTTTTTCTTGGTCATATTAATTTATTCTACAAAGTATGAAATTGTTCAACTTTCACTTAAGATCATAATCTAGATCTTTCAGTTATGATATCTTATATGGATTCATATGCTATTGTGTGTAAATAGTTCATCTCATTTCATTATCAAGTAGTTTAGATAAAGAAATAATCATTTTGCAGTAGATTTAATAAAATATTTCTTTTATTTGTAATATAAATGAGTGTTGTTATATTCTACTTTATTATCATAGTTAATATGTATAAATACATTTGTGAACTGCAGTATCCTTCTAACAGATCTTATATGATTTATAGTTTTATTGTTAATATGCAAGCTTTCACAATTAAATACATGCGATTCTTAGTCTGTTTCATTCAATAGCTGTCGATGTGTACGATAGAAATCTCTTATGAATTGTATCGAACGACATTTAGATCTGGACGGAAAATTTTCTAAACTCATCTAGATATAGTCACTAAACGCCTGAGTCTTTTTAACGTTGAAATAATACTTCCAATGTGCTAAATTAGATTAATATGAACACCTGTGAAATCAATAAACAATGACTAAGATAGTAATATTTTGTTTGTTAAGAATATTTGATTAATAAAAAAATCATAATTCATTGAAAGAGAAAAAAAGGAGCCTATCACTTTATTCATCATTTTCTATACATGCATAAACCAAAAAAAAGAAATTAAATTCCATTAATAACCACAAAAAACAAAACATTAAACTTCATATATAACAACTATTTGAGATATATATATATATTTAAACATGTACACTTGTGTATTGACCTTTATAATTAAGTATCAATACTGATCGTGGTCCAATATCACCTACTGGACAATCAACACCTACAAAATATATACATACATGCAACTTATATTTTCATTCTAGTATTAACTTACATGTAATCTTATCAATTGTTAAAGACCAGGTTTTCTTTCGATACGACATCACGAACTAAATTGTCATTTAGAAAAATATTTTATTCATCATCAAATTATCCTAGCTTACTTCATGTCCTTCTCGATAATTAAATCTACCATCATATACACGTAAAAATTCTATTCCTAAATCATGCATTTTTACTGCGTCTCTTCCTTTAATAACATCAACGATTTTTTCAAATGTTTTTTTCCTATAGAAAAAAAATAAAATAAAAATTTTACTATTTTTTTTCATTCTATTCTTACTTTCGTTGAACATGTAAAAGAATTGATTCGATAACACGACGTCGACGAACAGGCGCTGTTGGTGGTGGAACAAATCTATAAAATATTCAATAACTATTATATAAAAGAGAACACAAGTATACATGTAGAACTTACGAAGCATATCGAACACTACTTTGTGTACTACATGCACTATTTTGTCGACTTCGACGTGGTGCAACTGGTGGTGGAGCTAAACCACTAAATTTAGAACGTGAACCACTTATAAATGAATGTAAACCATAATCCACGACATCTTCTGGAATAGTTAATGATGATAATTCAATATGTTCTTCTTTTGAAATTGATGGTAATTTATTTTGATATAAATGTTGTTCTAAATCTAAAAATAAAAGAACTATTTTATTTTATTTCTTTCTTTAAATTCTATCAAACCAAAAAATTGTTGATCTAAACGTTTAATTATAAGTTCAATTTGTTCATTAAGTTTTAAAGTTTGAATATCATTAAATAGAATATTTGATAATTCTTCAGGAAATATTTTCCAGCATCCAATTGCAATATCATATTCAAGTTTAACTCGATGTGTATCATAATGATAAATACAATTATAACCAATAACATGTTCTTGTTCATCATCTCGATTTTCTACGATAATTGCCATAGAAAAATGTGTATTATTTTTATCATATTTTCGTAAACAATCATAATCAACATCTGGATTAACTAAAAATTAGAATTTTTTATTGAAAATATTCAAAAAATTGACATACATTGTTCAAAAGTTTCTTCAAACATATTTACAAGAGGATAGATTTCGTTTTGTTGCTTGATTGTTAATGCTTCCATCGTTAGATTGAAAAACGGAGAAAGAGAAAGAATGTCAAAATGAATAAACTATCGTATGTACGTACATGCCGGTCGTCGACCTTCTTTCTCATACAGCAATGAATTTTTATCTTTTTCTCTTCCTCTCTCTCTCTCTTTCGTTTACACTTTAAAATACGAAGAAATGGAATGCATGGTTGTCAACAATGAAAGTATACATACGATAAATAATGATCATGGAAGAAAAAAAATACAGTTCCTTGCCGTTTGTTAAATATTCGTTATCTAAAGTAACAATACTGAAATATGAAATATTTGATTGAAAATCGCATTTATTTGCTGAGTAAGAGCAAGTTTATTATTATCAGTAATTCGAATGTATCTATTTATTGAAAGTTGACAATTATGTATGATGTCGAAAATGAACTTTGTCTCTTTTATATCGAAGAGGATATTTTTCGAAGGGCGAAACCATATAATTGATATTTAGTGCCATTCGAATTAACTTCGTATTCATGTGTGAATTCTATAGTTCATCTGTCTTCCTAGATAAACAATACTCGGAGTAATGTTTTCTATTATAGCTAAAAGGCGATCATCTGTTCGATATGAAAAATGGAAGGTGCTATGCTAAATCTAAACTTAGATCAATTAGTCAATATATTGTTTTTAAAAATCTAATAGCCACATTATTCTACATAAACAAATGAATAGGGAAAGCAATTTCTCATAATTACATAGAAAAACATTCAATTACTTAAAGGAATTGTTCGTTTGAATGAAGTCTCTCTTCTTTTATTCAAAAAAATATAATCGAGAGCAATTGAATAAAACTCTAAAATGACAAATAGAATTACCCATGTAAAGAAAATCTGATTTAATCTCCGATTTATTTTCGAAAAACCGTTTAATCCCGATTTTACGCCGATTATTTCCGAGATCAACAAAATTGTTACGATTATCATGACAAGCTTCTCTACACATACGAGAGTTTTATATTTAACATATTCAAATGAATTTTGATTGTGAGTATACAAAATTGATTCAATTCTTTTTATTGTATACAAACTGGTGCTGTTCTATATTATATTATTCAGGCATATTCTTATGTAAAATTGTTGCGTATACACAATTAATTAAATCTATAAAAACTTGTTTTTTGTTTGTTTAAATGTAATACGTTCACTCGTAGAACCTTTTTTATTGAGGAAAATCAATATTTTGTTTTCGTCAAAATGCATATACTATTGTTGTTTGCTTTTCTTCACCATACGTGGAAAGAAAGACTCAATAATTAAAATTATTTTCTTTTCAACGGGTAAGTTTCACTTGAAATAAAGAAAAGGAAATTAAAAAAAATAAAAATGTTCCATACCAACTACTAGGACAAAAAAAAATTTTTTTTTCTCTTCCGACAATTGACGTTATTATCAATATTAGATGTAACAATAACACGTTGGTAACCAGAAGACTGAAAAGGAAAATGAGTAAAATAACAAATAAATTAAACTTATGTAATTTACGTACAAAATAAGTAAGTCTTTTTTTAGTTACTTCAAAACGAAGATTTACAATAAATATATTTCATCATAAATAGATCGAGAAGTTAAACAAAATATAATTTCATATTTAATCGCCAAGGCATATATGCGTCTTTATATTAAATTAATCCAGATCTGCGTGGGTTAGACGAACTTTCTTAAATGTCATCATATTATTTAATTATTTACATAGTACTTCAATAGTTGAACAGATATATTTTCTGATATGGTTAATTAGACTTGAATGAATATTATTCGATATATAAACAAATATAAAAGAATAGAATACGAGCATACATTAGAACATATTTTCTCTATTGACATTAGTTTCTTTTATTTTTTGCATCACTAAGGTTACATATCATGTTGACGGAAATTTGAGTTTGATACGGAACAAAAAAGAATAGTCATACTCCTAATATAAGCCAAGCGAATTAAATATTCTAGTATAGGAAACACGATGAATCATAGAAACTATGAAGTATGACAGGTCATGCAAATTTTTAATTATTTCAATAGTTTTTCTTGAATATACCATTGATATATTAGAAAAAATATTGAATAGCTAGTATGAGGTATGACCTGTATTAATTATTTAAATCCTTTTCGCTGCTTTAAAAGTATTATTTTAAGTAAAAAATTACGCCGAAGGCACATTGGAAAAAATACAGATAGATAATTTTTAATTCGGCGAAGGTTACGTTAACATGTCATGATTTTCTAATATTTTTTATTTTCTAGAGTATGCAACTCGAAGAACAAAGCATTACTGAATCTCCCGCACCAATTCCTAATATTTCAGTAAATGGAGAAGATATGATTAAATCATATGAAAATGAAACTGTACAAATAAAACCAAGTAAATGGGCCAAAGTAAAAGCTGTCAATCGTCGTATCGTACCCAGTCAAACACAAGGAGAAGTTAGATTAAGTAGTATTCTTGATGATCTTCGAAAATTTGAAATAGAAGCACAAAAAATACCTCGTCCAGATGAACAAAGAAGAAAAAAAAATCTATGTCATTATATAAGATTATCTCGATATCATATAGCACAATTTCTTCAAAAACCATTATATAATTATATTATTATATTATTAGTTATGACAGATCTAATCGTAGTTTTAGTTGATTTAGTTCTCGGTAGGTTAAATTCAATAATAATAATAATAATAATAAAATCATTATTCTATTAAATTTAGCTCAATTATCATCACCTTGTTTATCGGAAGATGAAATGATTATGTATAATACAACTGAACAACCTGATGCATGTTTAATTGAACATTCTGTTCATTTAGCTCGTACTGAAGCATTTCTTTTTTGGTTTTCAGTTTTATTACTGACTTTATTTGTTTTCGAAGTTTTCACTTCATTTTTTGCATTGGGTTGGAGATATTATAAAAATCCATTATTTTTAATTGATAGTATTATTGTATGTGCATCTTTTATTCTGGAAATATATTTTCATTTTGGAAATATTGGACGCGCTGGACGAGCTGCTGCTGCAATTGTTATTTTACGTTTATGGAAGATTATTCGAGCTATTCATGCTGTTGCACATTCAATTACAGTTAAAAATCGTTTATTAATTAAAAAAATTCATGAAGCTAAAGTATTATTAGAAGAAGAAAAACAACAAACGGAAAAAGCATTAGAAAAACAAGAAATTAGATTGGAATATTTGATTAATATTTTAACTACAATAGGTAAACTACCTTCACCACAATTAATTGAGAATTATGTCAATGAAGTATGGAGACAAAAGCATGAACCACAAGAATTGTGATAGTTAATTGTTTAACATCTGTAAATGACGTTATTCTTTATTAGTAATCATGACTGTGAAATTTTGAAACGATTCGATCTAATTACTAAATTTTGTTATATTTTTATAAATATATCAAGGATATACAAATGATCCTTTTTAGTAATTTCGTGATTTTACTATGATATTACATCTTCGATATTTGTTGTTTTCTATTGTATGTATATTAGTTTATAAAGGTCTGACAAAAATTAGAAAGATGGATGCCTTTATATAACTATATCTCATTCACTAATAGCTATACCTTTCATTGACAACAACGAACAATATTGTCTGTCATAGTAGTATACAACACATAACCAGTATATCAAAAGTCATAAAACATTTTTTCACAATTCCAGCTGATTCATCTGTCGATGAATTACATAATTAACTCGATATTTTCCTTTACAATGTGTTTTTCTCTTAAGAGTTGCTTAGCAACTATTTTTGTATACTTTGTAATTCAATGGATTTAAAGTACCGAGGAAATTAATTTATTTAACTGAATTCTGTTCTAATAATAAATCAATATAAGCACATCTAATATGATTTTTTTCTTCAATGCCTATTTTTTCACATAAATCTTTTGCAATTTCTTGTCCTTCTTCAATTGTTTGATTATCTTGTAGAACAACTTCAAGTTCAATAAACAATGTTGGTTCTAAACCTTTAACTTGATCAATATGTATACGTGTTTGTCCATGTTTTGTTAAAAATAATGTTCGAGTTTTATCAATTTGTCCACGAATACCACCCATTGATAATGATAAAACATTCTGAAATAGACAAAAGAAAAAAGAAAGTTTTTATTGTTTTTTATCACATTGTTTTTCTAAATATTTCCATCGTTGTTTAATATTTTCATTAAGATAATATGGTTGTTTAAATGATCTTTGACTTCCTCCAAATCTTAATTGTCCTGATTCTTTTTTTCCTCCTAATCCACCTCCACATCGTCTTGGTTTCCAACCAGGAAGTTTTTTTGATGCAACATCTTCTATTAATAATAAATGTCCATTAAATTTATAATCTTTTTTTCTATCAATTTGTCCAGTAAGAAATGCATAACCTTTCGATTCTCGTGTAACAATATCTCGAATAAGATCAATATGAGTTGCCGTAGGAAAGATTTGTTTTAAATCATCTCCAGTACATGATGGTGGAATATGTCCAATAAATAATGTTGAAGAAAAATTATTCGGTGGTTTATATTTTGATTTATAAGCACGTATTATAGCACGATCATGTGGAATTAAATCAGTTCCATCAATAGAACCAGCCATTTGAGGATCATAAAATCCCCATTGAAAACATGTTTTTCGATACATTATCTAGAAGAAAACATAAACTTACTATTAGTTCATCTGGATGAGAAACAGTTGCAACTGAATATGTTGAAAGTTTAGGAGTCGATAATGATGCCGTATCATTTCGTTCATAATAGATTAATTGAGCAGGAGAATCCTGAAATATTTTATATTTCTATTACAAAATTTCATTCAATTCAAAAATCTACTTGTTCAACACGTAATTTAAGTCTACCACCAGTTGGACAATTAAAAAATGTATCACTTTGAGTCAATTGACGTGGAGGACCATCAGCAAATGGTCGAACTCGTTCAATTAAGTCATTTAAATTACTATCAATACGAGCTTTTATTTCAATATTTCGAGGCATTCTGTTATAAAATAATGGTATAGATATTCGAAATCAATTTAAAACGAAATATATATACTACATCATGATAGAGGTATAGTTAGTTAAGAAAAGGGTTCGCTAGTTATCACTGAAAATCAAAAACTAATTCGTGAAATTAAATATAGATATTTTTTATTATGTCTACACTTATAGGAGATCTTTTATAGGCGTACTTACTGAACCCTTTATTCAGACACAAGTGCTGTGCGTGCGCGTTAATCACGTGAGTGAGTCTAAAGGAAAATAAATGTTGCTGATGAAATTCATTTTCAATATGAATTAATTATTAAAAAAAGAAATCACAATTTTTTTTTCAATAAAACAAATATATATTTATTTTTAACAAAAATTCATTTGTCTTAACTATTTTTTATCTTTTATTCCTTGATAAAATCCTGTATGATAACCAGCTAAATACCATGACATTAATGTTGAAGACAGTGTATCATTATTATCATTTGAATTTAATTCTGGAAAAGGAGGAAGAAGTGGCGCAGGTGGTTGTGGAACTGAAGTTAGTGTTTCTTGTTCATCATCGATTGCTACAGGTTCTTGTTGTTGTTCATCTTCTGTTCGTATTTGTAAATCTGTTAATAGATGACTTTCTTCATTTCCATAATCATCAAATAGAACAGTACATGATGAAGAGTCTATATTAAGAATAGTTGCTTTATACAAAAGTCCATCTTCAGTATATGGACATAAACATAAATCTCCAATTTTCCATGTAAGATTTTCTGGAGGTATTGAAGAATTCTCTTGTACTTCATTTGGCGAAATACTTTAACATAAATTAAAAATAAAATATTCAAGTATTGTTTCTGTCTTACTCTACTTCAATTATTGGTGCTGGTTGTTGTTCGATAATTTGAAGAAGTTTATCAGATGAAATTGCTTTTGCAAAAGAACGACATAGAAAAAAATCATCAGTAATTGGATTAATTGTTTTCACAATATTACTTGAACTTGTCATCTAAAAAAATTAATAATCATAAAATTAATTTATTCCAACATCGTTCTGTACTTGTAATCATTGAATAATAATCATATTGGACATAAAAGAAAGTTAAACTAGTTGTAGATAGTTTATTAGTACAATATAAAAATACATGATCACCATATTGTTCGAAAAAAGAAAAACAGAATCTGAATTAATTAGATAAAATAATAATGAAACAAATTAAATTTGATCACGATAAAATGCTGCACGATCTGTATCGATATGATTTGCTAATCTTTCTAAATAATTTCTTCTTTTGTCATCGTTAATCTTTTTTTCTTTCCATAATTGGCATAAAGCTAACATACACCATTTATTTTCTGATTCAATTTCATCAAGTTCTTCTAATGGTTTTATATGTTCAGTTTCAGTTATTGATTCAACACCTAATTGTTTAAATAATAACCAACGAAGATAAAACCAAGCTGCTTGATCAGAACAATCGGTATAGACAGCATTTAATACAAGTTCCCATTCTTTTAATAAAAGATTCGAACGACGAATAGGATTATGTTCAAGAAGTTTATCAAGATATTTCGAACGATAATGCCATGCAGAATAATTTGATAAATTATGACCAATTGTTGAACGAAGAAATGTTAATTCATTATCATAAAATGTTTCGATATCCGATGATGATGAAGGACAAAGATGTTCAAGAAGATAATAACGATATGCCCAACAATGAAAATTTCGTTCATCAATTTCTATAACAAAACAAAAGATATTTTTCTGCTGATGCTTAGGACATCTAGAAACGCTATATTGTCGCGTAACACTGTTAAGTTATTACTAGCTATTAAAGTGGGGGACCTGAACGATGAGTACAAGCATCTGAGTGTGGGTGAGGGCGCTGATTCAGAAAAAATAACATCAATAGATTTCTGTATCCATGTCGATTCATATTTGCTTTGGCCTTCGTTATTTTCGTCGATATTAATTTTCTGATTTTTTTTACAAAATCAGCGCTGAAAACGGTGTGTAGTAGCTCGTTCAATTCGAAAAAAGACTTGATCGGCAAAGTGTCGCGTTATGTGGAAAAGCCGATTTTCCATTTTATTACGCGAGTAAGTCAATCTGAAACTAACCTAAAAATTTTTGACATAATTGTAATTCATTTTGATAAAGATTTAAATCAAAATTTTCTTTTAATTGTTTTAAACACCATTGTCTTTGATTCCAACATGAATATGATTTAACATTTGATTTAAGACATAATTGTGTAATTTGTAATTCTTTTTGTAAATATTCTTTTTGTTTATCATTATCTAATTTAAGAATGACTTCACGTCGAATATTCCAAAGTGTAAAACAATCTGGATGATTAATCAGAGTATTTTCTGTTTGTTTTAAAAGTGCAAATAAATCTGTTAATTGACGATTATTTAATATACTTTCATATTCTGTTAAATATAATTGAAGTTTTTCAGCTCGTTCACGTTCTCGTGCAGCTTTTTGTTCAGCAGATGTTCGAATTTTAACTTGTCCGTGTACAGGCATCTACAAATTAAATAACCTTACCGTTATAAAACATGCAAAGAAAAAAAAAGAAGATGATATATTTATTTCTTATGTCTTTCTCGTTGATGTTTATTGTTTTAGAAATAAAAATCGAAACAGTAGTAATAATAAACACACAAAATATTCGAAGAATATTGTTCGGTTGTGTGTAAAATTCCGAATGATTTTATAAACGACGACCACGACGACCACCTTTTCGTCGAGTACTATCAGATGGAATTGGTGTTACATCCTCTATAATAAAAATATATATATTTATGATTTCTTAATTAAATAGAAAACAAACCAATTCGGCCAATTTTAATGCCAGAACGTGCAAGAGCACGAAGTGCTGATTGAGCACCAGGTCCAGGTGTTTTAGTTTTATTTCCACCAGTTGCACGAAGACGAACATGTAATGCAGTTATGCCTAAACCTCGACAACGTTCAGCTACATCTTGTGCAGCTAACATAGCAGCGTATGGTGAAGCTTCATCACGATCTGCTTTAACTTTCATTCCACCAGTTACACGTGCAATTGTTTCTCTAAAAAATATAATCTTTATCTAATTAAATATTCTAAATATTAACTTACTTTCCTGAGAGATCAGTAACATGAACAAAAGTATCGTTGAAACTTGCATAAATATGAGCAACACCAAAGTTAAGCTCACCTTCAGCAATTTGTGGACCTAAACTAACTTGTTCTACTTTAGCAACTGCTTGACCTTTGCGTGGACCCATATTAGATTAATAACCAATAGAGAAAGATAATGATCTACAAAGAGAATAACTAAATAATTTGAAATTTATTGCCATATAGTTCAATAGATAGGATGGATGTCTCTGAAAAAAACATATGAAGCAAAATAAATAAGATGACTCTTACATTCATATTTATTTCCACCAATAATTGAATAATATGAAATACATTTTTTAATTCTCTTATTTTCTATTTTAAATTTTTTTCTAAACATTTTTTTTAATTTATAATAAAATTTTAGTGATAATTAAACTATTTTTTTAACATCATAAAGATGTCGCTACTGGTACAATTTGTTGATAAATTATTTTAATAATTTTATTTCTATAAAAATATTTCAAAGAAAATTATATTACATATTTTTTAATTGAATTTTTTCCATGAATCTATTAGATGATTCGAATGACAAGTATTGATAGTATTGGCTTAAATCAACCAATAATCTCGGAATTAAACTGGAACAATGCCGTGCAAAA